AAAATTTCCTTCAACAGATAAATTATGCTCTTTCAATAACTGTAAGCAAAAGCTTCAGAATCTGTTGACTGCTGCTGGTAATGACCAGAAAAGGGGCAGGAGAGCTTCCAGACATCACAGTTTTCTTTGCTGTAGTGACACTATGGAGCAGGGACTCAGGAAATGCTTGCAAGGTCCTGGGTTGTCCTTGAACCAAGGAGATGCTGATACCCTGCATGCCCACCTTCTTTACATAAGATGTCAGCTGCCCACCTAGTGGGAGAGGTTATTTCTGTTTCTAGGCCCATTTCCAGAACCAGGAGTGCAGACAAAGAACTGGCCTATTAGTTGACAGCTGCAGAGCAGACAGAGCCCAAGCTGGGTGCAAATTAGGCATTCAAGACTTGCTCCCAGGCCAGCTGTCAGCTAATAGACCACCTTGCTCTGGCATCAGAAGCAGGTTCACCTGCTGAGGTTGCACACCTGTCCAACACTGACAGATAGGCCATGAAGCCCAAGCTTGGTGTCCAAGCTCATGGCAGGCTACAGGGAAGCTCCTCCTGCAGAGCTGCGTGGTTACCAGCCAGCCTGAAACAATCCTTTCTTTTCTGGACTTACATTTTCTCTCAGCTAAAATATCACTTCCTGATGAAGACTGGGCAATCTACTTCCGGAGAGATACCAAACCAAACTCATTCAACTCCACTGATAGCGACCCCTCCTTGGGTTTCTGAGGCGGTATCACTATCGAAGTAGACTGCTCAAACTTCCTTCCGAGGAGTGGCTGGTGGGTTTGAACCGTCAGCCTTCTAGTTAGCAGTCAAATGCCGTAGGCACTACACCACCAGAGCTCCCTCCGTAGAGATACCTCCTCAGAAACCCAAGGAGAGCTTGCTATGAGTTGGTATCAACTCGATGGCAGTGAGTTTGGGGTTTTTTTGGATGAAAATTTCACCATTATTTCAAATAAGTGATTTGTCTTTCAAAAACTCTTTAAAAATCTGAGCACCACTGCTGAATACACACTACCAAGACTTTACTCATTTTCTCAACCTAGTGACAGAGATCTGCACATGATTCACTTGAGTCAGTAATAAAAAATCAGCTGTTTAATAATTAAACAGGGCAAAAAAACAGCTATACCGTATTAGAAAAATGGAAAGAAATCATAAAATTTTCACCTCCATTTTAAGTAGATGCTTAAATATAGAGAGAATGAGACATTAGGTTTTTATCCTTTTGCAAACAAATATAGGAAAAATTTAAAAAAGAGACTAGGAATATCTCATCTTTTAATTTGTAAATAAAAATAAATCTCTTTAGGAAAGAGATTGCACTCTCTTTAGGAAATTCAAGAAAGGCTTACTATCAGGGGAACACACTGGTATATAAAGAAAACAACCCTGGTTGGGTTGACTATGAAACAGCAAACATAAAATGGAATTGTAAAAGGAAAGCATTAGGTAGCTTTAAAGATAAAGTTAAAACCATTCTGTGCAACTTAACAGCCCTTAAGGCTCATCTTAATCGGTGTTTGGACTACCTTATGAAATACTGTAAACAGTGAGACAACTGTCAAAGTCCCAAGGGTCAAATACTTCCCAACAGAATCATAATGCTCAAACTCCCTGAAGACTCATTTAATAATTACAGTACTATGCATCCAAGATATCCTTTCACAGAAAATCCATTCATCAAAAACCATTATATACCAACATTTTGCCTATTGGGTGGCCAACAATGTTTCCGTTCATCCAGAAAATAAAAGATTCTACATAAGAACAGGCACAGGAAATGCATGCATATGCATACATACTTCCATCTTTAACAGTCAAAAATTGCTTTAGCAAAAGCAATCTAAATTGGATACCTAAACCAAAAGATCAATATGACCTGGGAAAGGCAAAATCTTCTGTGCAATCTACTTAATGGTTAAAAAAACAAGACAAGCTTCATTTAACTTACCACACTGTACCTCATCCTCTCGGCCATCTCAGCTTTGAGAGCCATCCTGCTCAATGTCTTCCTGGTCTATCTCAGTGCACTCTACCACTAGTATGTAAAGAAAATGCACTAGTGTTCCACTGGGCAAGCAAAATCCAGCCCCAGCTGTTAGGCATAGTCTTCCGTCCCTCTGCTAAAAACACAAACCTGAGTCCACTGTCTCTCTAATGTCTTCCCATAATTCCGGACTACATGTAACTTGTTCCTTAAACATCTGTAGAACATCCCGATCACTCAACCTGAACATATATAATCATAAACTACTTGGCACTGTTGGCTCACTTTTCATATGTGCTGGTTTCCTCTTCCTGAAAACTCAAAAAGCTACTTGAAGGCAAAGACCAGGTCTGATGTCCCACTTCTTGGCATTCTCAACTAATATTCACAGATTCATAGAAAGTTATAATCTGAATGGACCTTTAGAGATGATTGAGACCAAACCCCATATCTGAAATAAACTAGATGAGAGTTGGTAACATTTTATAGCCCCATGAGTCAGACAAATCTGGGTTCAAATCCTGCCTCTGGCATGTTCTGGTTGTGTAGCTAGACTATTTTCTCATCTGTAAAACAGAGATAATACCTACCTCATAAAATAAGAATCAAAGGAGAAAATATATATATTATATACATACACACATGCACTTGGACTCCCCCCCTCCCTTTTTCTTTACTTTTTCTTTTTTTTTTTTTTTCGTCCTTGTTAAGATAATCTTTTTGGTTGGTTTTCTTTCTGGTTTATAATTCATTAAATTGCAAGCCCAAGAGGCAAGGGCTTTTTTTCTTTTTCCTACTGTATTTTCTACACTATGGTGTCTATTAGAGTGCTTAGTATCTTTCAAAAAAGCCATAAATTAATGTGAAAGAACACATGAAACAAATCTCTATTATCAGTACCTAGTTCTGGTAGCATAGTGCCTAAGGCACTTGACTGCTAACCAGAAGGCTGGTGGTTCAAACCCACCAGCCACTCCTCGGAAGGAAGGTTGGGCATTCCTACTTCCATAGTGATACTGCTTCGGAAACCCAAGGAGGGGTCGCTATGAGTCGGGGCCGACTCGATGGCAAATAACAACAACAACACAACAGTTCCCCATGAACTTAATCAATTATGTCTGGCTTGCTAGACTGCTAGTGGAAAGGCTGGAAAATCTAGTGGTTGGAAACCACCCAGTGGCACCTCAGAAAGCAGCCTGGCTATCTACATCCAAAAGGTCACAGCCATGATGGAGCAGTTCTAGTCTGCAGGTGTGGAGTTGCCAGCAGTCAGAATCAACTCTGAGGCAACTAACAACAGTCTTAATGTAGTCTTTCCTAAACTGTGCCTGCTCAAAACAAATATATCTCTATCTCCCTACCAACCCCCCCTCACACACACCTTTCCCTTTAGCATTAAGCTGAAAAAAGCACTGCCTCTCCCGTATTTTTGGAAGAAAAATATAGTATATTTACCAGGATATTCAGACAAACAGTGATAGGTGGAACAACAGAATTTTGAAGGAATTAAAAAACTTCTGGAGAACTTTCTTAGGATTTGTGGCATCAAGCTCTTAAATGAGAATTATTTGTATATAACAAATTCTGGCAAAAGTAAACCTGAAACTCACTAGTGAGCTGTCAGTGAAGTCAAAGATTGCACTTCACTCAATTCCATGCAAGCAAACAGTGAGTGACTAATAGGATTAACTCGAGCTCTAATACTGGATGTAGATATCCTCAAACAAGAAACAAGTTCTATTAGCACAACTGTCAGCTTCAGGTAGATAATTTACATTTGAAGGAACACAGATTTTGCTCTTAAAAATTTTACTAGAAAAATATTTGCTCCGTATGCGTAGCGCCTAAGGCACTTGACTGCTAACCAGAAGGCTGGCGGTTCAAACCCCCCCTGCCACTCCTTGGAAAGAAGGTTGGGCAATCTACTTCCTTAGTGACACTGCCTCGGAAACCCAAGGAGGGGTCGCTATGAGTCCGTCCGACTCGACGGCACATAACAACAACAACAACATGCCAAGATAAAAGTATCATTTCTTTCTTTTGCAGGAGGCAATGGCCCGCGCGCGCGCGCGCGTGCGCACGAGCGCGCGATGGGGAAGGAGAGGAGACTCCTGAAGGTGACACAGACTTCCACCAAAAAAGTTGGTTCTTTCAAGGAATATTTTTTTTCGAACAGCTAAATGAGTCGGGTCCGACTCGACGGCACATAACAACAAACAAAATAAAACGGTTTAACACTTAATTAGCATCTTGTATCAATTACACAAATAGCATTTAAGCCATGCTGATGCCCTGGGAAAGATCAGCAACACACAGAAATCCCTTTTGGCCTCAGCCATCCCCTCCCGCAGGGCTTGACAGCGCATCCAAGGCGCTCAAACACCAGCCACCAGGCTCCCCCCAGTGCCTTCCTTCCGCAGCTCTCGGGCCAAACTCCAATATTCCTCAATTCAAAACCGCGAAAATGCAAATCCTGCTAAGCAAACGGTAGAGCGCGTTAAGAACTTTTCTTTTTGCGCAGATATGAGATACTTGTGTCTAATACCAATTTCTTAACTCCACAGCCCATTCCCGGCAATCTACCTTCAAAGTAAGAGGAGAAGAAGCGTGAACCAAAGAGAGGGCTGGCGATCCCGGATGAGTTCCGAAACCTCATCGGTTTTCCTAGTGTCACCAGCCTCATAACAATTGGATGCAGACAGATATAAAGGAGAATGCTCCCCACCTTACCCCACCCCTGCCAAAAGTAAGAACAACATGCATCGGGCATTCATCTGGAAACCCTGGTCCCTCCTATGCAGCGATAAAGCCAGAAAAGTAGGCTGCCTGGAACCTGGCGGAGGAAAGTTGCTAGGCAATGTGTAAGTCAGGGCAAAAGTGTACAGCCTACAGTTTCGAGCCTGATGGGGGAAGGGGCTGAGGGGAATAGAGATGGGGATTAATAAACCCCGCGCGCGGGCAGCTGCAGCCGCCCGCCAGTCGGTTGGGGAGGGGGTGTCGGCGGCATAACCTCTACTTACATAACGCTTCAACTTTTTCTCCGGGGGGGACTTGCGGAGCCATCCCGAGCACACCACTTCGCCGCCGCTCATTATGCGCGCCTCTCAGGCCCCGGGCCGGGCAGCTGAGGGGCGGGCGGGCGCGCTCCCGACACAGTCAACGCCTGACGGGCGCACAACCGCGAGGTCCTGGCTCTCCTTGGCCGCTCACCCTCTGCTGTCGGGACAGGCGATCTCCCAGCGCGCGCTCCGCCCGCTCTCCGCGGCAGTTCTACAGATGTGAGCAGAAATGGGCTCCTCTGCTGCTGCTGACAACACTGGGAAGCGACCGCCGCGGGGCCGAGGCAGCCCCGGCCTCCCTTCAGTGCGCCTGCCTCGCCGCCAGACGCGCCGTCCCACCGGCCGCCTCAGCAGCGCTCAGGCTCAGCTGGGCCGGCGTCTTCGCGGGACTCTGTCCCGACAAGAAGCCGGAGCCTCGGTGTCTTGCGCTCCGCCCCCTCGGGACAGAACCTCCCCAGAGCGCTTTCCGAAACGCACCGATGCACGCACACACACACACACACACACACAATGCCCCGCGCGGTGCCTACTACCGCTCGCCAGCTCTCGGTTTCGGTGCGCCTGGCGCGATCCACTCCTTTCCCGTCCTGGGAAGAGGGCGGGTCACTTCTCCGCAGCGCCCGGGTAGCCGGGAGGAAAAGGGCAGCGACGAGGCTCCCGCGCGCAACCGGTGCAGAGCAGGTCCCGGGCCGCGGAGGAGCCGCCCAGTCGGCAGCGAAGCGCGGGGCTTCGTTGGGCTGCGGGCGCTGGGGAAGGCGGAGGTCCCGCCGGAGGGTGGGTTCTCTCTGGCCGCCGCGGAAGAGGGTGGGGAACAGAGAAACGAAGCGCTAGGCTGCTCGGCTGTGGGGAGGGATCCCACTGTCCCGTCCCCTCGCGCTCCTCCCCCGCCGCCTCCCCCACCCCGGGGTGCTCAGCAGGTTCTGAGCAGCCCGGGCCTTGGCCCCGATCCCTCCCTCTCTGGGCCTCCGGGCTGCTCTTCCTCCCTTCCCTCCTCCCCTTTTCAGTTCGGGCCGGGCTCCGGTTTCTGCCTAGACTTTCTCAGAAACTCCGCGGGAGCGCTCCAGCCAAAACAACAAGGGCTGGGGGGGGAGGAGGAGATGGAAGGAGGGAACGAGCAGAGAAGGGAGGGAACCAGTGTCCGAGCAGCACCCTGGGATCTGTAGTTCGGAAAGCTAGAGCGGGCTCCTTGGCCGCCTCTGGCGGTGTTGGCCAGAGTCCCCAGAGTACTCCTCAACCGACAAAGCGGCGGAGGCCTCGGCTAGGGTAACCCTGGCGGGGCTCGTGCCGGGGTACGAGCGGGGAATGTTCAAATGTTCAGTCCAAGGTTTGCCATCTTGACTTAACCCGGCGCCAGTTCGGGGTGTATGTGGTTTGTGCCGGTCTAGGGTTTTCGGGGTTTTTTGTTTTTTCTGTTTGACAGCGGGTGAAACAAAACAGCCCGGAGGCAGACCGCGGCGCGATGGGGAGGCAGTAGCTCCGTCAGTCCCCTCCGCGAGAGATCTAAGAGCTGAGATTCAGAAGGAGAGAGAACTGGGAACAGGGAAGCGCGCCATGGCAATCTGGGGACTCACCGAGGTTGAGGTGATGGTCTCTAGCAGCGCTGGGCAAGTGACAGGAGCACATTACTGGGCCAAACGATTTGATTATATTTATCTCTGGGACATATTTAAAATCTTACACCCCATTTGTCGTCAGTTTTCTTCCACTTTGTCTTGTGTTTACAGAAGAACAATCCCTGCCTGATACGGTAGGCTAGAAAAGGGAAAGTTACTGGATGGCCTGTTCTGCTTACCTGTTCGCGTGTGTTTTACAATTGTTTTACTTGGTTCTGAGCTTAACATGACCCTGTAACATAAATGTACTGCATTTTCCAATTTATTGATTAAAGTCCCAAAACAAATTTTAGAAGGCTGTTGTAATTTGCCGTCAAGTCTGTTTGGACTCATGGCGACCCCATATGTGCAGAATAGAACTATGCTTCTTAGGGTTTTCAAGACAGTGACCTTTCTAACGAAGATTGCTTCTGCTTCTGAGTGGATTTGAACCTCCAACCTTTCGTCTTAAACCTTTGTGCCACCCAGAGACTCCCATAATTTTAGAAGGCAATATAGATAACCAGATAAAAGTTGTAAAGTAGGAGATAAGTGAGTATCTTAAAACATCACCTCAGGCATTTTCTTAATACATAACACTCATATTCAGGAATTTCTCTGAGTTTCAAAATGTGTAATTGTAATGGGGAAACTAGTTAGGTGTACTGCACTCATGGATGGAGTGCATAGAGAGTATAAACAAAGTCAGTATACGTACAGATTATGATAAATGTGCTCTGATGGAAGTAAACACAGTAAGGTGAAAGAGTAACAGGTGGACTAGATCAACTAGGATGAGGAGTGGGGAGGAAGTTTTTAGCCAGAGGCTTGAAAGATGTGAAGGGAGAGGAGAATCAAGTTTGGTTTACGGAAGGATAAAAGAGGGAACCATAAAGAGAACTGGAGAGAGAAAGAACAAGCAAACAAGTAACTTCATAAAGCCAAAAATAACAAACCAGTTGCCTGGGTTGATTCTGACTCAGGTAGACCCCATGGATGTCAGAGTGCAACTGTTCTTCATAGGGTTTTCAATGGCTGATTTTTCATATGAAGGTCACCAGGACTTTCTTCTAAGGCATCTTTGGGTGGACTTGAAACACCAACATTTTATTTAACTGCAGCCACACACATTGCACAACCACAGGGTCTCCTGGTTACTTTATAGTGAGCCCAAATGGAGCTCCTTGGGCACCTGGAAGTGGGGATAAGGAAAAGTCCTAAGGAGGGTGAAGGAGACTGTTGAATTGTGCAAGCCCCAGACTCCTAATCTAGAGCATTGATAAATGACACCTCCACTGCACAAACATGAATGGCTTTCTCATTCTTAACTCTCCGTTAGGTTAATATTATCTCTATAACTGTAATCCATATCAGAAAATACTATGAAAATAGAATTAATTTATTTACATAGTCTAGTAATTATTGGAAAATAAAAATGGTATTCTAATCCTATAGCCACCTTATATAAAGGGCATCATTAACAGAATAATTAAATCAGGATAAGTCTGGTTCACTGAGGTTTAGAGCCCTTCATCTTTTGGCAGATACTTTTGAGTTTCACAAGGGTTTATCTTCTAGATCTGGACTCATTTTCAGGTCATCCGTTTTTCAAGTCATGATCTTGAGCAAAGTAAGCAATGTCTCCAAGCTTCAGTTTCCTGATACGTGAAATGGAATGATAATACCAATATTGCAGGATTTTTGTGAAAATTAGCAATGATAGAATATTAAATGCCTATCATTATAGATGTTGGAGGGTTTTGTGTTTGTTGTTTTTCTTAAATCTTAAACTTTTTAGAACACAAAAACTCACTGCATTCAATCGATTCCAACTCATATTGACCCCTGAGGCTGGAAATCTTTTCGGAAGTTGGTTGCCCTATCTTCCTTCCTTGAAACCTCTGGTGGGTTTGAACCACCAACATGCTGATTAGCAGTATAAATGCTTTAGGCACTGCACCATCAGAACGCCTTTTTTTTTTTTTTTACAACACAAGTGAAAGTAATTTTCATGGCAGCCAGTAAGCCAAAGCCACTCTTAAGCATGTGAACACAGATCTTGCCACAAGTCCCTCAAACAAAAATAAATCATTGTATTTGTTTTCCACTTCTCCACAGGCAGTGTGCATATATACTGAGTCAAAAATATTTATAATTAATGTGGTATGGCTAATCTGCCATTGACTAATAACTGTTGGCTTTAGAATGGTGGAATTCTTTAGAATTTAAAGTTTAGAAACTTTAGATAGTTGGAATTGGCAATACCATTTGATCCAGCAATCCCATTACCAGGTATGTGTCTTAAAGAAGTGAAAACCAGGAAAAGAACAGACATATGCACACCTATATTCATCGCAGCACCATTTACAATAGCAGAAAGATGGAAACAACCTAGGTGTCCATCAACAGAAGAATGGATAACCAAACTATGGTACATACACACAATGGAATACTGTGCAACAATAAAGAATAATGTAGGATCTGCAAAACGCCACATAACGTGGATGAACTAGGAGGACATTACGCTAACTGATGTATGTCAATCACAGAAGGACAAATACTGTATTAGTTCATGTGTTAGGCTGGGTTCTGTAGAGAAGCAAAACCAGTAAAGCTTATAGAGAGAGAGAGAGGAAAAGAACCAATTTATCTTAGGAAAATGGCTCACACAGTTATAAAAGCTGACAAGTCCCAAGTTGGAGCTTTTTCCCAACTCACACAGCTGCAGGGGCTGATGAGCTCAAGGTTCGCAGGCAGTATACTGGCTGTTGACTTCAACAGATGACAAATTGAAAATTACTGGGCAGAATGGCGGATTGTTCACTCATGGACAGTTGTAGGCAGCACAACAGGGTTCAGATCCACAGTAGTTTTCCCAAACCAAACCGACCAAACTCACTACAGCACTACAGTTGAGTTGGATCCAACTCATAGCGACCCTGCCTTGGGTTTCTGAGGTGATATCACTACAAAAGTAGATTGCCCAACCTTCCTTCCGAGGAGTGGCTAGTATGTTTGAACCTCCAGGCTTCTGGTTAGCAGTCAAATGCCTTAGGCATAACCATATATGTATATGTATATATATATATGTGTGTGTATATATATATGTACTAGGTCACACCCCTAGGGAAATTCCCTTCTAACGGATTGGCTGCTCAAAGCATATGCAACTGATCTCATCATGGAAATAACCACATCACAACTGCTTAAACCACTCAGAGTTGTAGGCCAGCCAAGTTGACACACAGCTCCAACTATCACAGTTCATTATTGTAAAAAGTCAAGTAAAGTTTATATATAGAAGGAAATTTTCTTTGTTGGTTACCAGGGGTGGGAGGGAAGAGAAGGGGAAGGAACACTGCAAAAAGAAAAAAAGAAATGTGCATTGTTTTTACATTATATGCCATTTTTAGATTATCTCTTACATCACAGTTTATATGT